CACTCAGCCAGTGACTTCTCCAACACTCCACATAGTCCACAAACACTCCCTAATCACTTTACAAATACTCTCCGAGCTCCCCACACATACTAAACCAAAACTCCATAAACAATGTGAATTCACTTTCCAAACACTTAGAAATATGCCCGACAAATATTGACCAAACACTCCTCAAAGATTCCTCAAATCTCTAAAGTCCACCACCGCCACCACTCAAAGTAATCCTGTTATTCTTTCCTTATTTTCTGTATATGCTTTTTCAGTGGCGGATGTTCATATTAAACATGGACAAATATTTGAACGATGAGGCCAAAATATGTACAACTAATCTCTGCAAGCCAGGAGGTAAATGGACTTAAATGGCATTGTTCGACTCGGAGCCAATAACAAGCCACTTCACCCATTTACACAAATATTCAGACAGCACTTTCTTATTATCACACACTCGGATGGATGCATCAGCAGTAATTTGGAATTTGGCATTTTTCCCATTGATGCTTCAACTTGAGGACTGGAGGAGTCAGCCATCGTCAACCCGCCACTTCCAGCTCAGGCTTCAGACTGCTCTGCACACTCACTTCTATTGGATCTGCACGATGTCCTAGAGGGAGAATATTGTTAAAATGCCATCTCGGGCACATGCCTCTGACTGTGACCACGGCAGGCTGACTCACCTGTGGTTCAAAACCCTTTGTGAGGTTCAGCCAATCAGAGGACTTTTGACTTAAAGTGAATGATAAACTGCAACAGCAGGGCAGCATAATTGCAGAATAAAAGACCAAAGCAAATCTATCAGAGTCCATGAATAAATGAATGAATGTGCTAGAAATTAGAACAATTGGTCCCCTTTTAAATGCTCATTAAACACAGTATGTTACCACAACACGTTCTCACTCCCACAGCGTAACATTTTACGCTAGGTGACAAATCGTCAACATATTACGTTTTCGGCTACCCACCACGTTCCTAAATGACGACCTCGGAAAAATGAGGAAATATGAGAACC